CCGGGCTCGCGGACGGGGGTGTCCGGGAGGGTCCCGGGCTCGCGGGCGGGGGTGTCCGGGAGGGTCCCGGGCTCGCGGGCGGGGGTCCCCGGGAGGGTCCCGGGCTCGCGGGCGGGGTCCCAGGCGCCAGGGTTCTGGGATCACTAGCTGGGGTCCGAGTCGGGAGTTCAGGGCTCCCAGGTACCTGGTTCGTCTCCTGTATCCGAAAGGAAGGAGCCAAGCACCTCTGTTGGCTTTTGTGGTCTTGGAGAACTTGGTAACTGTCTCTCGTGCCGCCTCCTGCCTGTGGGTTCCTGCAGGAGCTGTGAGCCCACACCGGTGGCTGCTGCAGGACAGAGGGGGTGAACACCAGCCAGGAGCTTAGCGGTGGGGCATCAGGCTGCAGGGTCCCATTCCTGCTTTGTTCCTTCCCCCCGACAGTGAGGCAAACTGCTTTCCTCGAGGCCTCCCTGAGGATAATGCAGCAGGAAGGGGAGAGAAGACCCAGCTGCGCTGGGGTTTGCCTCACTGACTTCCCTTGATGGTTCTGCAGTCCCCCTGCCTGCTGCCTTACCATGGCCAATCCCACCCCTCCTGGTCACACCTGCGCGTTGGGCCAGCCCTGCCACGAAGCTGGGTGGTAGCTCCTGCTTGTACACGTCGCAGGCACCCAGTGAAGCCCCCTGTCTTTGTTTACAGATTACACAGACAAGCCCCTGGAGAAGCCCCTGAAGCTGGTCCTCAAGGTTGGAGGAAGTGAAGTGACTGAGCTCTCAGGGTCTGGGCACGACTCCAGTTACTACGATGACAGGTCAGACCACGAGCGCGAGCGACACAAAGAAAAAAAGAAGAAGAAGAAAAAGAAATCGGAGAAGGAGAAGCACCTCGATGATGAAGAAAGAAGGAAAAGGAAGGTAAAACACAGTCGCAGTTGGCATGTGGTGGCCCCAAGCCCTCTGGAGGGCAGGCTGTAAGTGCTGCAGGGCTTCAGGAAAGGGTCGTTCTGTTTGTAGCAAAACACAAATCAGGAAGGTCCTTCGCTTTGTTTCTGGCTCTTTGTGCATCGTTTCTGAGCCAAGCCGCGGGGGTGGTCGTCTAGGGTGGGAATCTGAAGCGAGAAGTGCCTCCATGTGGAGGGGGGTTTTGTCTCTCAGCTTCGTGTTTCCCCTCAGTTACAGGAGATCTGTTTAAAACTGCTTGCCTTGCTCTCGCTGCCCTGACTCTGCCTCACAGGAAGAGAAGAAGCGGAAACGGGAAAAGGAGCATGGCGACACGGAGGGAGAGGCCGACGACTTTGATCCTGGGAAGAAGGTGGATGTGGAGCCGCCCCCTGATAGGCCCATGCGCGCGTGCCGGACACAGCCAGGCGAGTGGAGCGTTGTAGAGGCTTTCTTGGAGCTTCACGGCTCATCTCTGACCTCATGGCTGGCGCTGGCGCTCCCGTCAGCCCCTTGGGAGGAGCACGGGACGGAGGGAATGCTGTTTTCCCAACACGAAGCATAGCTGGGCCTGAGGTCTTACTGTCCCCCTGAGCTTCTAGAGCAGGGCTTGGCCAGCGACTGCTCCTGAGTCCCACTCCTCATTAAACTCCTGAGCTCATCGTGGATGGGAGGAAGCTAGTACTCGGGTCAGTCGCTGAGGCTGTCAGAAACCACGGGGGCTGTGCCCGCCTCACCAAAGGAGAGGCTCCGAAATGCTGGAGAGTCTGTGATCTGTGTGCGGTCACTTCCCACAGACTTTCACGTAGTCAGGAGGCACTGAGGGACGCGGTCTTGTCTCAGGCGTTTCTTTTCTGGACTTTGGGTTTGACTGCCTACGATTTGGGAGGGAGGAGGGGGTGTTGTATTGCAGGCATTGTGGGGGGCTGCGTTCCCGCAGTCCCCGTCCCCTGTGCAGGTTAGTGCCATGGTGGACTTGGGGCTGCTAGGCACGGTGGGGCACAGAGAAGGTCAGGCGTGAAGTCTGCGGAGTTTGGACAGTCTCTGGTCACCGTGAGCTTAGTCTGAATAGCTGCTCGCTTGAGGTCACATGTGCAGTGCTTCCCTCCCGTGTGCCTGAAGAGCTGCTCTTCACACCTGCCCTGGTCTCTGTCTCTATTGAGGACCCACTTGAGGTCTGCACTCCTGTTGTGCTTCAACCCTGGAACCAGCCATCTCCCCAAGGAGCCCTGGTTCCTTTGCGCAGCATGGCATTCAGAAACCGAGGTCTGGGTGCTGGGTGTGGCCCTCAGTGGGTGGCACGAGGATAGATCACATGCGTACTCACAGCTGAGAGAACAAAAGCTACGCTGGCATCTGTGTTCACATTCACCAAAATCCACGATTTCACACAGTGGGCCCAGAGACGCAGTTAACGGCAGCTCTCGCAAGAACCCTGGTGCGGTGTGTATTTGTGCCTTTTTCACAGGTGAGGAACAGTGGCATGACCAGAGGTTTAGGACTCCCAAAACAATAATTGGTGAAGCTCCACCTCTGTGTCCAAAGCCTCTGTCCTCTTCTTTGTACTGTGTCTGGAATGTACCGGGCCCGGTAGTGCCCTGGATGGTCATAGACTGATGAGGGACAGTTCCCTGTTGTTGTGCTAAGGGTGTTGGCACTCTGAGGGGTTTTGGGGACTGATGCTGTGATGGAAGTCCTTGCCCATGCAGCTGAGCTTCTTGGGGGCCAGGACTGGTCTGGTTTATCCTGGTACGCAGTTCCGGTAGGAACCTAAAACGCTGTGAAACATGAAATGGCTAAGTACACACTGGGGAGTTGGAGCTCTCCAAATACCAAAATCTCTCGACTCATCTTTATTTTTTTATTTTTTGACTCATTAGCTGAGAACGAGAGCACGCCTATTCAGCAACTGTTAGAGCACTTTCTCCGCCAGCTCCAGAGGTAAACAGATTCTCAAGAGCTTGAGCTTGGAAACTTTCGGGGTGTCTTCCCTTGTGAGGTGTTCTTCCCCCAGCTCTACCACCTGTGGAGCAGACCCTTGCCTAGTCTGGTGGAGGGTGGTCAGGCGCGTGCGGGAGCAGCGTGCAGGGAGAGCTCCGTCTGCCGAGTCCTTGCAGGCCGGTCAGGGCCGCCGTGATGCAGATGTCATGGCTGGAGCTGGGACGGCAGTTCGGGAACTTTTAGTCATCAAAGTACCTACCGCAATTCTAAAGAGCATGGGTTTTATTTTTAAGATGGTAATAGTGACTTAAAACTTGGTGAGTTGTATTACATATTTATCATGAGGGGTTTTGTATCACTTGAAAACCTAGATTTATGGTTTTCCCAGTTTAAATAAAGATGTTTTTGTTTTCAGAAAAGATCCTCATGGATTTTTCGCTTTTCCTGTCACGGATGCAATTGCTCCTGGATACTCAATGATAATAAAACATCCTATGGATTTTGGCACAATGAAAGACAAGATTGTAGCCAATGAATACAAGTCTGTCACAGAATTTAAGGTAATCTGGTGTCAGTTCCTGAAATCACTGCTATGAGGCTCTGTGTGTTTATGTCCCGTGAACACTCTGTCCACCTTAGCTTGTTCCCAGTTGCAAATTTCCATGGGCATTTGAGTGTTTGGGTTGAGGTCACCCAAACACAGCATCGGGGGTAATGGGTTGGCTGAAATGTCCTCTGTATTTTTGTGTGGAAGCCCGACCATATGTTGCAAGCCGTAGGAACACATCGGGTCGCGCAGGAGTGTGTCGATTTGGTCTGGCTCCAGAGTGGGTGTATCTAGAAATGCAGTTTTCCTAATTTTTAGATTTATAGGAACTGGGAATTTAATTTTTTTTAATAATAAATTTTTTTAAATTTTTTATTCTTACGTTAATCATTCTACATAACATCGTTAGTTTTTGATGTAGCGTTCATGATTAATTGTTTGTGCATAACACCCAGTGCTCCATGCAGTACGTGCCCTCTTTACTACCCATCACCAGGCTAACCCATCCCCCCACCCGCCTCCCCTCTAGAACCCTCAGTTTGTTTTTCAGAGTCCATAGTCTCTCATGGTTCGTCTCCCCCTCCGATTTGAATAATAAATTCTTAATAACACCTGAGTACATAGCTCTTAAACCTGTTTCTTTCTACCACCTATGAGGTGGTAGAAATTGATCTCGGCTTTGAAACCCGGGGGGGATCAAAATGAGTGCTTCACAGCTTTGGCAATCATGTCATTTATGAAAGGGCATCAGTTTTCTTTCTTAGTTTTGGTTAAATTTGGAAGGCTTGGCTTCTTTACTTTCATTTCCTGGTGATGTGACAGGGTTTGCCGAGCTGTGGAAGCAGTGCCACGCGAAAGGGTATTGCATAGAGTGGGCATTTCCTCTGGAGGATCGGGCACTGCCCCAGGGGCAGATGGCTAGTGGCAGCCTGCAAGTCCTTCACCTTCCTAACTTGGATCCCAGTTTGGTCTGCTGCCCAGTGACCGTCGTGGATGTGAGCAGCGTCCCCCTTCTCCTACGTTCTCAAGACTGGTACCTTGGGGCCAGCGAAGGACGGGGGCTTCACAGCCTCAGGCCCAGCCCTGGGGACCTTGGCATGGGGCCGTGCTGGGGCTCGGGAAGGGCCGGGATAGTTTGCACTGTGTTGCCTGGCTGGCTTTAGCTGTCCTTGTGCATCCTGATGGCTGACTCACCTGTGATAGGTGTGTGCCGCATGTAATTTGGTTAGGGTGACAAAATACTGAGGTTTCCGATAGTTTATTTTTAATATAAGTTGTTCAGTAAGAGTCTCCTTGTGTTAGCGGAAGGGTTTGCTCTGATGCTTGTAATTACCCGTAGACAAAATTCTGAATTCTGTGGAAAAATCCCAGAGATAGAGAACACTAATGTGCCCGGGTTTCCGCTCATCCCTTGGCTCTAATGAAAAAAACCTGGCTGTCGTTCTTGTTCCTGTTTATGTCTGAGTTCCTCCCAAAGTGGGAGAGCTAGAGACAGAAGAGAGGGCTGCCGTGTTCTTACCACATGCGTGTGTCACACTCAGGAGGAAGTTCGGGGCTTGGCAGGCTTCTCACTGTGTGCAGGGAAAGACCAGTGAACAATTAGGAACATTTTTCTGAAGGTCTGAAAACCATATGTTAAAGTGAAGAACCTAATCTAGTTATCTCCCACTCACTTTGAGCCTCTTGACAGGAATCTAGTTTATGCTGTTGTCTTGGTGGCATTTCAAATGGGGTGGATACTATTTTTTTTCCCTTTTCAGGCAGATTTTAAGCTGATGTGCGATAATGCCATGACCTACAACAGGCCGGACACTGTGTACTACAAGCTAGCCAAGAAGATTCTTCACGCGGGCTTTAAGATGATGAGCAAAGTAAGAAGCCCTTTGGCAGCGAGGAGCCACAGAAACAAGAATTCTCCTCTGTGTTTTTATGCCTAAACAGAACCTCACCCCAGTGAATGACATGCTTCCATCCATCCGTCACTGGCCGCGGTGTGGATCCCTCTGCTCTAGGGTAGACGTCCCAGGCCACCCTCCCCTCCAGGCGCTCTCTCTCCCTCTCTGTGCTCCTGCTCATGATCCAGCTGTAACGTCTCCTTAGGGTTGGTGGAAAGTTCTGGATCTGTTGATCTGAGCCTGGGTGTCTTGTCTCACTGGATTGCAGCCAGCCTGTGATTTGTTTTACATGGCTGCCCACTGAATCCAGATGGGACATCTTGGCCGTCCGGCGTGGCTTCCCAGATCTGTCCCATGAGCCAGGTTGCATGTGTCATGCATCTAGGACCAGTGCCTTGTGCCTGATCAGCCTGTAGGTGAGGTGCGGCTCCTGTGCCCTTGGCCTGTCCCCTCGGCCAGCCCTGGGTGCTCCCGGCCAGTTGGCCGCACCTTTGGTGCTGACTCCCACCACCACCTCCCACGGTAGTGCCGTGGAGGTCAGCTGTTAGGCCAGGTGAGGCTGTGGCCATCCCCATCCCACCCATCGTCATGGCACCCTGGCTGTGAGGCAGAGGTAAAGCCCTGCTGCTCTGTCCTTTTTGATTCTAGGAGCGGCTGTTAGCTTTGAAGCGCAGCATGTCGTTTATGCAGGACATGGATTTTTCTCAGCAGGCAGCTCTTCTGGGCAATGAAGATACAGCCGTCGAGGAACCTGTTCCTGAAGTGGTACCCGTACAAGCAGAAACTGCCAAGAAATCCAAAAGGCCGAGTAGAGAAGTCATCAGGTAAAGAGAAGTGCGTGTGCCTGTCGCGTGGGACACACACCTCGGGAAGGCGGGTGAGGGGGCATCCTGTGCTGGTGCCCACGGCCTTGGAGGAGCTCACAGACGGCTGCTTGTGCGAGGTGAGGGGGAGCACAGTCCCCAGGGGCCTGGGTCCACGCTCTAGCCTTAGGTGTGCCCAGGCAGCCGGCAGGCAACCTGGACCAGCTAGGACTTGTCCTGCAGGAGAGCCGCTGTCACGCTGATGGACATAAGGTGCCGAAGGCGGGACAGCCCCTGCTGCCACACTCGGGCTCCGGAGCCCATCTGGCCACCGCTGTTCCCACATGTGTGTCGTTTGTGAATAACTGTTGGCCCTTCATTCCCAAGAGGTTCCCTCCCATGCAGAACACATGCTAGTGGCCTGGCTTGGCTGTCCCCGGCTCAGGGGACATAACTGTGCTGCGTTGGGCAGGCTGCATGCTTAGGAGTGGGGGCTTCTTTCTCACCGTACCCCCTGAGCCAGAGCAAGGGCCTTTTTGTAGGCTTGGGGTCCGCAGGCAGGGTTTGCTCCCACAGCTCCTTAGAAGGGATCTACCCATTTGTTTCTAGACCCTTCCACAGGAGAGGCCACCTCCCTTGGGTGCTGCACCCAGCGACTCTTGACTGTTTAAGGAAGGAACTCCTTCACATGGGGCTTCTGGCCACCTGCGGGAGGCTTGGGATGCCCCTGGGGACTCACGGCCTTGTGTTCCTAGCTCACATTTGTTGCGGGTGCTTCAGCCCTCCACGGAGTTCTGCCCCTTTTTCTAATGGCGCCTTGAATGACACTAGGTTTGTGAGCCTCCCGGCATGTGGTAAGGTTCCCTTCGGGCAGCTCTTAGATGACTGACACGTGAGGAACGTCTAGTGGCCGTTTGGGTTACCCTTACTCTTGGTGGAAGTGTTTTGTGTTGCTGTGGTTACAGCTAAAAGGACAGGATTAAGGTGTGCTTCCTGCTACCAGCCCCTGGTGACCTCCAGGAGTGTTAGGGGCTGGCCCCAGGGGAGGTGGGAGGGGCATGTTCCCCAGCCTCCTGGTGACTTGTGTGCTGTTCCTGCTTCATAGCTGCATGTTTGAGCCAGAAGGAAATGCTTGCAGCCTGACGGACAGCACGGCGGAGGAGCATGTCCTGGCCTTGGTGGAGCACGCAGCCGACGAGGCTCGGGACAGGATCAGCCGGCTCCTCCCAGGGGGCAAGGTAGCGGCAGGAGGGCTGGGCAGGGCTGCGCCTGGTTGATGCATCGGTCACTGCAGGGTCGTGTTGGCTCCTGTCACCGGCCTCATCTCCTGGGTGGGAGGGGGCCTCCAGGGGCACCTTGAAGGCAAGACCCTCACAGAAGCTGTGTGTAGTGTGTGGACGCCCGTGGACAGGCTCACCCTTTGGTGGGATGTTGGTCACTGTTGCTGGAAGGCTGGGCCCACCGGGCTTCTGCAGCTGGAACCTTGTCCCGGTGTGCTTGCGTCTCTGTACCCCTCTGGAGTGCCCGGGGGTTCCATGTGACCCAGGCATGGCCCGTGGGAGCTGCCCCAGCAGCTGCTCATCCACAGGAAAAGGCCCCACCATCCTTTGAACACCTCGCCATAAGAATAGACCAGCATGTCCAGTAGAAACCGCGAGGGTCCTGTGTACAGTTTTAAGTCTGGTAACGAGAACAGAGATGAAATTAATCCTGGTGCCTTTTACTTGACCTGGTATATCCGGTCTTACGTTAGCATGTGCTCTGTATAAAAAACCATTAGAACTGCACATCCTTTTTCCCACACGAAGGCTTTAAGATGCATGTTGAGTGGTACGTAAAGAATTTTGAATGATAATGTTCTAGATGTGCTGGGTTATGTGAGATATTGAGGTCAGTGTCTTTGTACGTCTTTAAACCTTCCTGGTGGAAAGTTTGAAGTTGACTGTGTGGCTCGTGGTGTTGTGCTGCTGGACCCGCTGGTCTGCACCCCTGTAGTGCTCCGGCCCTGGGGTCTCCAGGGAGCCCAGGCTCTGGGTGGGGCCCGCCTTGGGTGGGGCTCAGAAAGACCCAGTGCTGACCTGTGTGTACTCGAAGCCTGTGTCCGCACCCAAACCCCCATTGCTCCCGGCACCGCGCCCGCTTCACTCGTCTCCCTTTCGGGTGTTGGAATTCCACAGCGAGAAACCTGACTGCAGTTACTTGGTCAGTGGCGATGGATCCCCTGTCCTCGCTTCCCCTCCCCGCCCAGCCCTGCACTCAGGCTCCACAGGCTCCAGGGTGCAGGCCCGAAGGCCACCCTCCTCCCGTTCCCCACACCGACATGCAGGTGTCCCTCTTCCTGGACCTTCCTGGTGGCCTTCAGAAGAGGAGTGGTTTTGTTTGGTGGTTGGTCTTTAAGTGGAAGTGAGTCCCTTATGGTTTAGATATGGAGCCTCTAGGCCATCCACAGACGTGGCCCTTGGTGACCAGAGTCTTGTTCTAGCTCATCTGGTTCAGGTTCTGACATCCTGTGAAATGGTTGTTTCTGGGTAAAGCCTCCTGTTTGAAAAGCTCTTTTAGAAGGGTCACAAGGAACCTGAGTTCTTCCAGTGCACACAGGTCTGAAATTAAATTCGGGAAGGTATGAGAGGGGCCTCTGTAGCCTTTTCCACAGGGAAACCAAGAACCTCTTGGCCTTCTGGGGTTCATCCCAGTTAGGTCATACTGGGAGGCCTCTATCTTGTTGGCGTGTCAGTAGAAACTGCAACCGCAGGATTCTGGTCAGGGGACGGGCATTCAGGTGTGCTTTCTTGCAGATGGGCTATCTGAAGAAGAACGGGGACGGCAGCCTGCTCTACAGCGTGGTCAACACGGCTGAGCCGGACGCCGACGGTGCGTGGCCCCTTGCAGGGCTGGGCTTCTCCGAGCCCCACACACTGCTTTGTTAGTCTCTGCACCGCCAAGGATTTTAAAACTTCGTAACCTGTTTGAGATCAGCATTTCCCCTGCAGAGCGTGGCACCAGTGGTAAAGCATAGAGAAGAGTCCCCGTCTGGTTTCATGCTCCTGTACATCCCCCTTGACACGACCCGTGTGTGATAAATGGACAGAGGGCAGTCGTCCTGCGGGGGCGGAGGTCCTGGTCAGACCTCTTGTGCCCGACAGTCCCCAGCACAGGCAGAAGGACTGGAGCTGCACTCCCACAAAGCTGTGGTTCTAGAAGCCCTCGTGGCCTGACTTCCTGGTCCCGTCACAAAGGGTTTACTCAGTAAGGGCTCCCTGTGAGAAACCAGAGTGCTCAGTCTCCCACTCGCCAAGCTCGAAAGAGGCCCAGACGTGAGCTTTAGAAGAAATACCGTGTTTGATCATCGTGTTAAGGAAGATCTTGGTGGAGACACAGATGCTGGATCTGTGCAGTCTTTTCTGTGGGTTCTAAGAAGCGTTTATGTACTTCTTCGTCTCTGAAAAGTGCCTCGAAGGCTTGCCTTTGAGGAAGAGCAAAGCTCACTTGCACTTGTAATACATTCTCTCACACGCAAAGGAAAATAAAATATTCTCCATTGTTCTCGCCCGCATGGGTGTGGGGCTGCTCCCACCGCCTGGGGCTCTTGGCAGTGTTCTTTAATGCGGCCCTAGATAGGGGCTTAGTGTTCTCTGACAGGTACCCCGCATGGACCCTGGCTGACTACTCTGGCTGAAACGAGTGGTAACATTCTTTGTAAGAGAATACAAGAGCTGATAACTCCTAGCTTAGAAAGAGATAGTGAAGGTTCGAGAATTGTAGTGGCTTCTGTAAAGTTGATCTTAGCTGGTCTTTGTAGAGAGCCCCTGAGCCTGAGGCCTATGTGCCCAGGTGAGGCAGTGTGGGGGCTGGGAGCTCCCCAAGCCACTTGCTCACAGCCTGGTCCCCTTACAGAGGAGGAGACCCACCCTGTGGACCTGAGCTCGCTCTCCAGCAAGCTGCTCCCGGGCTTCACCACGCTGGGCTTCAAAGACGAGAGAAGGGGCAAAGGTGAGTGAGGCGGGCAGGTAGGGGCAGGGGGTCACAGCAGAGGTGTGGACCCTGAGTCCTCCCCCAAGATCTTCCTGACTTACCTGTTTTTAGTACCATATCCCCACGCTGGCTCTGAAATAGCAGTGAAATTCCGGTCATTTGAAGTGAGGGGAATAAAAATGAGTGGGCAGGCTCCTGCTGTCTGCTCTTGCCAGTGGGTGGGTCTGAGCTCCGTGCTGACGCTGGGTAGGGGTGCACAAAGGTGTCTGGAGGACGATGGTGGGCACAGTGGGGGAGGGAGGGAGGGAGGGGACTGACCGGTGTGTCGGCTGCTCCTGTGCTCGAGCAGGCAGACGTTCGTGGCCGGCTTGCTGGTTTTGGGGTGTGTCCGGGCGAGCAGCAGTTTTGTTCCCAGGGGATATTTTCTGGTCACACCGTGGTCCTACTGGCGTCGAGCGGGGAGAGGCCTGGAGTGCTCCCCCACACCATTCCTCTCGAGCCCTGACTTCATGTGAAGGTGCAGCGATGCCTCCTTCAGGGCACGGAGCCTCTGAGTCCCTTGACCTGCCCTCCCCGCAGGCTCAGTCCGCAGCGCTGTCTGGGGACTGCGCTCTGGGGACGCTGGCGCTCAGGCCCCTGCAGAATGCACTCGCTTCTCTGTGGTCATGGCTCGGACGTAAAACGAGGCGTTGAGGCAGTTCTGCTGGCTAGGCCCCGAATGCTGCTACTCTTGGGGTGTGCTGAGGGGCGGCATTTGCATGCAGAAGAGAGCGTGTGACGGTGGGGGCTCGTGGGGGGCCCGGTGCGGGTGCCCGGCCTGCGGAACGCTGGCGCGCGTCTCATGCCCTCATGCTCCCCTCTCGTGCTCTTAGTGACGTTTCTCTCCAGCGCCACCACCGCGCTGTCAATGCACAACAATTCCGTATTTGGCGACTTGAAATCGGACGAAACGGAGCTGCTGTATTCTGCCTACGGAGACGAGACGGGTGTGCAGTGCGCGCTGAGGTGAGCAGGGTTGGCGGAAACGCACACCGGCTTCTTGCCCGCTCTGCGGCGGGAACGTGTCCCCGGCCCCGCCTGTGTGTGTGTGGGGACGGCGGCCGACAGCAGCGGGTCCGCACGGCAGAAGTTTCCACGTTACTTCCCGTCGACCGCGGGTCGATGTCAAAGCTCAGGTAACTCAGCTGGTAGTGTGAGCAGGTGATGATCCAGGTTGTAGTTGGGAAGGGAATGTGTGTGTGCGTAACCTGTGCCGTGCATGTTGAGTTTGTTTCGTGACTTTATTGAAATGTGGCTTCGTGGCTGTGCTAGACTGCTTGGGCCACCAAAACAGAGCACCGCGGGCCAGATGGCTTCAGTGGTAGGCATTTATCTTCTGCTGGTCCTGGAGGCTGTTGGTCTGAGATCCAGGCGCAGGCAGGGCTGGCTTCTCCTGAGGCTTCTTGGCTTGTAGACGCCGTGGTCTCCCTGTGTCCTCACGTGGGCGTCCTGTGTGCGTCTCCGTCCTGACCTCCGCTTCCTTTAAAGACACCAATCGTAATGGATTAGGGCCCACCTTGAAGACCTCGTCCTAACCTAATTACCTCTTAAAGGCCCTGTATCCAAATACAGTCCACATTCTGAGGTCCTGGGGTTAGAGCTCAATGTAAGAATTATGGGCCACAGTCGAGTCCCTGACAGTGATTAAGATGTGGTCTTAAAATCATAGATGCAGTACTGTGTTTTTGTAGAACTGTTTTTGTGTGTATTTTTTTGCTTTGTGTGCCAAGTAGAAGTGGGTCACTCTTTCAGAAGTTTAGTAATTTTCCAGGAGGAAAGTAAAATTTTGTCATCCTCTAAGAAATGGGTTTTTTCCACGTTAGATCTTTGTTTAATTCGAAACCGAATACAGGGTATATTTTAAAAATGAACAGTAAGAAATCAGTTAGTTCTTATTACAGGAAGTGAGTACGTATCCAGGTTTTTGTGAGACCAAAGAAGTAGAAGTGGAAAACCAAGGAGGGAATTTGTTGTGGGCGAGGACAGTGTCACAAGTGGTGACCCTCTCCTTTACCCCACTGCCCTGTCACAACCCTCCAGGGTCAGCAGCCACCTTCGGTTCAGGTGGCCTTGTCCAGCGCCCGCTCCCGAAGCACAGACGGACTCTGGGTGCCAGACAGCGAGAATCCCAGGCGCGTGGGCAGCACACGGAGGCGGGCAGACAGCGCTCCTCCCTGGCATCCCCACGTCACCTCCCCACATGCTCTGTTCCAAGGCACTTCCAGACCACACCCTGAGTGTTGCGACTGCTCCCTGCCCCTTCACACCTCAGTTTGGTGGTTTCTCCTAAAATGCGCCTGGTGCAGACTTGTGTGTGTTGTCACGGTTTCACTTCCAGACCAGCCCTTCTCAGCCTCTGCCCAGCCTTTGATGCTAGGACTTGGGCTTTTGGTCTCTGCTTCCTTTTGAAATACTTTGGCTTTATGTATTTATTTATTTTTTAGCATTCCTGTGATCCAAAAATCAAAATCACCTTCTAGGGCGTATGCAGAGAGACATGCTTCCGTACTGATCCGTCCCCTCCCCATTGCGGAGCATCCTCCTCAATCTACTTATGTTTTTAAATCCAATAAAAAAAAAAGATAAAATTATTCTTCTTTTACAGAAGTTAGTGTAAGATATCTGGTTGACCCTTGAGCAACACGGCTTTCAATTGTGCAAGTCCATTTACATGCGGCTTTTTTTCATTAAATATAGTACAGTATTGTAAACGTATTTTTTCTCTGATCATTTTCCTTGTAACGTGTTTTTCTTTAGCTTGCTTTATTGTGAGAATATGGTGCATAATACATATAATTTATAAAATCTGTATTAATCAGTGTTTTCTGTCATCAGAAAGGCTTCTGGTCAACAGTAGACTGTTGGTTAAGTTTTGGGAGAGTCAGAAGTTAATATGCAGATTTTCAGCTGTGGGGTTTAGTGCCCCTGATCCCGCGTTGCTCAAGGGTCAACTGAACACATATAGACTGTTGTTCACTTTTTTTAAAAATAATTTTCTCTTGAGATGTTTTTAACCTTTTTGGGTCGCGGGCCACTTTGAAGATCTGATGAAGACTCCTGATTCCCCCCCCAAAACTGTATCTGGGAGGTTTGGTGCGCCCAGTAAGACCCTCTCTTGTGGAGGAACATCTGAGGAGGTGGGCTGACAGGGCGGGCTCCTGAGATCAGGACCACCGGCGCTGGTGGAAGAATCTGGACGAGTAGAGGGTGTGCTGCCTGTCTGATCATGTTCCCTCATGGCCCTTCCAGCCTGCAGGAGTTTGTGAAGGATGCTGGGAGCTACAGCAAGAAAATGGTGGATGACCTCCTGGACCAGATCACCGGTGGGGACCACTCACGAATGCTCTTCCAGCTGAGGCAGGTGGGTGCGCCGTGCTGGCCTCCTTGCGGGCACCCACGGCCCTGGGCTCCTGCCATTGGGTCACTGCTGTTGGAGAGCCCATCCAGACTGACGTGGTTCTGGCTAGCTGTTCTTCCCTTATTCTTTTTTTATTTTCCTTTGTTCCCCATAAACGGTTAATTTTCTCTCAGAGGAACTTAAAAATAGTTGTCTCTATTGACCACATATTCACCATTTCTGGCACTCTTGATAACATTTTTTTTTTTTTAAAGATTTTATTTATTTGACAGAGAGAGAGCACAAGTAGGCCGAGCAGCAGGCAGAGGGAGAGGGAGGAGCAGGCTCCCCACTGAGCAGGGAGCCGGACGCAGGGCTCAATCCCAGGACCCTGGGATCATGACCTGAGCTGAAGGCAGACGCCTAACTGACTGAGCGACCCAGGTGCCCCTCTTTGTAACTTTTTATATACCCGAATTTCTTTCATCTACTGTCATTTTCTTTCATTCTGAAGAACCTTCTTTAATATTTCTTGTGGTATAGACTTGCTGACAGTGAATTTACTCAGCCTTTTTTTTTTTTTTGTCTGAAAAACGTTTTTATTTTACCTTTATTTTTGAAATTCATCTTCCCTGGGTGTGGAATTACAGGCCGTTGTTTTCCTGTCTACTTTAAAAGATGCCTGACTGCATTGTTTCCAGAGTGTTTGTGGTCATTTTCATCTGTGTTTTCCTCCTGTCACCTGTCGTCTGGTTGCATCAAGGATTGGCAAATGTGGGCCCATGAGCTATGAATGTTCTTTTACCTTTCTTAAAGGCTGTAAAAAAAAAAAAAAAAGTGTGCTACAGACCTTATGTGGCCCACAAAGCCTCAAGGATTTGCTCTTCAGTCCTTTGGAGAAAGGTTACTGAATGCTGTTCTAGATATTTTTATTTTTTAATTTTCTTTTTCTTTTTTTCTTTTTTTAAGATTTTATTTATTTATTTGACAGAGAGAGATACAGCGAGAGAGGGAACACAAGCAGGGGGAGTGGGAGAGGGAGAAGCAGGCTTCC